GTCTTATTTGGTCGATTTTGACTTCTTGCTTTGTCGTATTTACACAGAGAGAAGATGAAAAATATTAAAAGAATAGAAGTTGTTTGACCTTGTTTTCGCATCTTGCTCACATTGGTAGGAATATTTAGAGAAACGTACCTATTCCGGAGTCCATTCTATGCATGATTATTTCCAAAGTTAGACCGTGGACGTGGTGCTTTCCCAGACGTTTCTCCGGCATCGTCAGTGAGTCTCGCCATTCGTAGCACCATAGTAGAGCTCGTCAAAGAGACAAGTGAAGCCCATCCTTTGACCAAACGTGTGCTAAACAGTTGTGGTATCTCCCCTTCTGCCCTGTCACAATTTTTACCTTGCTTATTTCGATTCAGTGTGGTCTTCATGAAAACCCTTCAAAATCCACCCTTTTGATCTCACTCCCTTCACATTTGTGCTGGGAATGTTGAATAGAGTGTGACATATTGTTACGTATTCCTTCCCTGGGTCCTATCAGAGTCTCCATCTTGCCCCGTAGATATCTCTCTGGTACATGTAATTCACTCGACCCCTGTCTCCCCATCTGTGCTACTCGAGGCGTTATTCGCCCACCCCTGCGTCTGGGTGACTAATTAGAGGCTAAAGCCTCTGAGTAAGTCTCACGATCATGCCTTTGCTACATGAACTACGTCCCTTGTAAAACCCACTGTCAGCCAACTAGCTCTAATCGCCGCCTCGTCTATCCTGTCTCTATCCCTAATACTAAGTCTATGACTTGCCATGCCCTAGTCTCTTGTGTGCAAACCGACAAATGTTGTGGTACTGATTGCTTTGATTAGGTTCAATGATCAACCAAAACGTTTGTGGGTTTGGCACACACATCATTGAACCTAATCAAAACAAACAGTACCACAACATTTGTGGGTTGGCACACAAGAGACTAGGGCAAGGCAAGTCATAGATTTGGTATTAGGGATAGAGACAGGATAGACGAGGCGGCGATTGGAGATAGTTGGCTGACGGTAGGTTTTACAAGAGACGTAGTTCATGTAGCAAAGGCATGACCATGAGACTTATTCGGAGTCTTTAGCCTCGAATTAGTCACCCAGACGCAAGGGAGGACGAATAAAGCCTCTATTAGCACAGATGGGGGGGCAGGGGTCGAGTGAAATACTTGTACCAAGGAAATAGCAGATGGATTTTACGGAGTAACAGGGAGACTTATAGGACCCAGGGAAGGACTACGTAACAATATAACAGACTCTGTTCAACATTCTCGGCATGAGGGTAAGGGGGTGAGAACGACAGCGTCGAGTGTAAAGGGTTTTCATAAATGCCGCTCGAAGGAGCACACCACACTACATCAAAATAAGCACGGTAGAATTGTGATAGTGAAGGCGTGATAGGAGGATATAGGTAATGTGAATAACCCAGGGCAGAAGGGGAGTTACCACAACAGTTTAGCACACGTTTGGTCAAAGTATGGACTTCACTTGTCTCTTTGACGAGCTGTACTATGGTGCTACGAATGACGAGGCTCACTGACGATGCTGACGACGATACCGGCGAAACGTCTGGGAAAGTACCGCGTCCATGGTCAGATTCTGGAAATAATCAGGCATACTGGACTCCGGACTAGGTACGTTCCTCTAAGTCTTTCTACCAATGTGACCAAGTAGCGAAAACAAGGTCAAACAACTTCTATACAACGAAAGGAGACTGCGACCACAAAAAAGGCCACACTATCTTGGTCTTCATACCTTCAATATTAAAAGAAGTTGAGTTTTCAAGAATCCCTTTGTAAAATGTTGCTGACATACCTTCCATTCCGATTAAAACGGGCAGAAGTGTATAGGCTGTGAATCCGCCTCTCTGGATGCCGAAGAAGAATTACCATAGACTTGCCACTCTTGAATTGTTCGAAGAAGACCTCGGTTTATCTTCCTACGACCCCGAGAATATGTGCTCAGCTTTCATCCGTTATGTGGCAGACATCGTCAGAGCCAGAAACCATCATTTACGAACAATAACCAAAAACACGAAACCAAGGAAGGTGGCTGGCTAAAATTCTCCTTACCTCCTATGCCTAACATCGAGATCTTAATGGTTGGCTAGTTTGTGCTTACCTTACATCCTTGTAGATAAGTAAACTTGATGCACGAGAAGAGAGTGGATGTGTCCACATATGAGCTTGTTATACTAAGGCTTATTTTAGATTTATGATTCGTATGTAAGTAGAGTTTCGAGACTACCAATACACCCCATATTAG